TGGCCTCGTCTCTTTCTAGTCCTGCCATTTTCGAACTAATGAATTTAGAAAAGTCATGGATCGAATAGATGCCTCTATCTGTGGGTTAAATAAATGTTTGATTCTTGTTTAAAGGAATAATATTGAATTCAAACCCGGGGACGAAGGGAAACCAGTTGTCATATAAATCATGGCAATTCGCATATACTGAAGAAAAAAAAAGAATTTTTGGAGAGCTATAAATAACTGCATCCTCATTAATTTTTACGACCTGCTTCTCTTCTCTCGTTACTAATTCTTTTTTTTTCTTGTCATTTTTCCACGATATTTCCTATAGTATTTTCTTCTTTCATCTATTTATCTAACTAACTAGCAAGTTACAATATCTACATATCTATCTCGCTATCTCACAGTCTCTTTTACATATATCTATCTATCTATCTATATATATATATATATATATATATATATATATATATATATATATATATATATATATATATATGTTTCATGCTAGAGGCAATCGTCAGGTGGCCTGACGATTGCCTCTAGCATGAAACAGACTGTCGCCTCTAAGTGTTGACTTCTATGTTCACTTTTATATTTACACACGCTCTATCTCTGATATTGAGCACCTTGTCCCATAAATATAGCATATCTTAAGACTATATTTCTTCTATGTATCTATCTATCTCTCCTCTCTCTCTCTCTCTCTCTCTCTCTATATATATATATATATATATATATATATATATATATATATATATATATAAGTTTATGAGAGATGAGAAGAAGGTATAAAAACAAGTCGCTTTTTTTAATGAAACATCTTTTTCAGGATTTAAGCGATTTGTACATAGATTTATATGAACAAACTGAGATACATAGATTGATAGATACAATCTATGTATCTCAGTTTGTTCATATAAATCTATGTACAAATCGCTTAAATCCTGAAAAAAAGATGTTTCATTAAAATCTACTTCTTTTTATACCTTGTTCTCATCTCTCATAAACTTTTCTTCTTTGATTTATTTATATTTCTCTCTCAGTTTGTTCACATCTCTGTCTCTGTCTTGTCATATCTATCTAAGACTAGTCATATCTATCAGTCTAGCCATATCTATCTATCTATCTCCATGTCTGTCTATCCCTCTCTCTCTCCCCCACACACACACATATATATATATATATATATATATATATATATATATATATATATATAAGTTCTGAAAAACTTGGTAATCCGTATAGGTAGTCCTAAGGAGGATGAAATCCTGAGAGCTCAATGTAAATTCAGAGCTCATAATTTAAATATATATATATATATATATATATATATATATATATATATATATATATATATATGTGTGTGTGTGTGTGTGTGTGTGTGTATGTATATATATATATATATATATATATATATATATATATATATATATATATATATATATATATATATATTTTGTTGGATTGATCAATTCAACCAAATATGTTAGCTCTATCTCTGATATTGGGCGGTTTCTAATAAGTATCACACATATAATATATAAATAATTATATATATATATATATATATATATATATATATATATATATATATATTTATTTATTTATTTATATTTATATACACACACTTTTCACACACACACACATATATATATATATATATATATATATATATATATATATATATATATATATATATATATATAAGATAAGTCATTTTAAGTTCTTCTCCAATCACAGAAGCAAGTTTCGTCTTCAGTGAATAAAGTTGTATTTCAAGAAGTACAGGTTTTAAAGATTTTAATGGACATGATAAAAAAAAGGGTTACGGCTCAGTTGAAATATACAAAAGTAGAATTACGTGTTTATTAACATTTCTCCCGACTTTTCAGTCGTACCGTTTCTTCCTCCTAGTTTACCTTCAGCTCCCTAGTCAGAAATACTGTCGTAGTTAAAATTACGTGTACCCTTTTTTCATTGGTAGACAGAAAGTCTGTAGGAACTGCATAGGCTTACGGTCAGATCACGTTGAAAAACCGCTTCTGAAAGATCATCAAAGTTAAACAACACCGAGCCTGGTCAGTAACTAGGTGAGTGACCACTTTATAATGTTAGAAGCTTGGATGTGCGAGTGGTATGTCTTATGGCCATATCACTTATTCACCTGTTCCCGTATGATCACCAAAGTTAAACAACGCCGAGCCTGGTCAATATCTAGAAGGGTGAACGGTTTATTCTGCTGTAAGTTTGATGTGCTGGTATGTCTTATGGCCATATCACTTATTCACCTGTTCCCGTATGATCACCAAAGTTAAACAACGCCGAGCCTGGTCAATATCTAGAAGGGTGAACGGTTTATTCTGCTGTAAGTTTGGATGTGCGAGTGGTATGTCTTACGGCCATATCAGTTATTCACCTGTTCCCGTATGATCACCAAAAGTTAAACAACGCCGAGCCTGGTCAATATCTAGAAGGGTGAACGGTTTATTCTGCTGTAAGTTTGATGTGCGAG